AAAAATCTCTCAATCATACAGCACATTCTCAATGCTTTTTTAAGGAATAGTACTGCCAGGCAAAGTGTTACAGTTCTCTTGGGACTGAAGCAGGTCAGAACTGCAGGTGTCCTTGAATCTGACTCCTTGTCCTTCTTTTAGGTTTTAGCACTGAGACTGAGGGGAGTCTAGGGAGTGAATAGCACAATTTTCCCCTGTTGTAGCTAGTGTCATCTTATCCTTTTTCCTCCACAAGGTTAATGTATCTACACTGTACAATCATAACAGTTTGAGACCACTTTCACAGCTATGGTTAATTGTTATGGGATTCAGGGATTTGATCTGTTTAGCAGAGAACTCGAGAGTAGCACCACTACACCATATTATAAACCCCAGGATTCCACAGGATGGCAGCATAGAAAGTAAAGGTCCCCCCCCCCCACCCAAATTTATTATTTTTTAAATAATAAGTTTCCCTCAACCAGGAGCTTTTTTACATTACATCGTTATAGTACAATCCTTCCACTTTAACTGCAATTACAACATTCTATGATATCCCGGCTTTTGCAGTTTGCAGAGATTGTATTTCGTATTCTCAGCCAGAGAGCTGTAGTGTCCTAGGCTTCTAGGATGCCATGAGACTTCAAATGGATTCATAGTGCTATAACTGAACAGTGTGGAAAGGCCATGGCAGTGTGGTGGTAGATGTTGAAATGCAGTCACTTCTTATGACATCCAGAGAGCTGTGTTGATTCACATCCACAAATCAATTCCTGCTGTTTCACCAATCTAGATCTCTGTGAAACTGTTTCCCTTTCATCCCACTGCTTTCCCACCCGTATGAGTTTCTGCCTAAATCTCCACTGTCATCAAAAATGAATTCTGCCAAAAACCTCACTGAAGTCACCAAGAGTCAGGATTTTCCCTTATCCTTCCTTCCTTCTCAGCAGGACACCCTGGTAGCACAGCTGGTTAAACCACTGAGCTGCTGAACTTGCTGATCAAAAGGTTGGCAGTTCGAATCCAGGGAGCGGGGTGAGCTCCCACTGTTTGGTCCAGCTTCTGCCAATCTAGGAGTTTGAAAACATGCAGATGTGAGATCAGTAGGTACTGCCTTGGCAGGAAGGTAATGGCACTCCATGCAGTCATGCTGGCCATATGAACTTGGAGATGTCTATGGACAACTCCAGTTCTTCGTCTTAAAAATTGAGATTAGCACCACCCCTCGGAGTCATACACAACTAGACTTAATGTCAAGGGAAACATTTACCTTGACCTTTATCCTCCTCAGCAATGTAAGGGCTTCTTCCCATCCCACATGCTATTGTCACATAGATACCCTCAATACTCCTGTGTGGGATGGTATGCAACTTTTACTCTCAGACACAAAATCTCTTTATTCACGGCTGCCTCCATAGACATAATGTCAAAATTGAATATTTATAATATATAGCAGTTGTAGAGAAATGAAAATACAAAAATATACTTTATTAACAAAAGTCAAACATACAAAACATACCCATTTAAAAAATAATTTTAGAACATTATTCACAGTCTTGCACACATTCGAGTCCTAGCTAATTGACTCTTAAATGCCATTCATTAATTCCTAACCTGAATGACTGATTCTCTTAACCCTCATCCTCACTCATCCACTCATTTCTCTTCACCACAATTCTCTACTGTCTGCCATTATTCAAATTCCTCCAGACATTCCACAAATCATCATTCACTTCCAGTATTTCATTCTCATTCCCCCTCCTGCCAGCTTTTTACCTTAGTACCACAATATCGAACACATAAAACAGCATTTTCCATAAAAAGTCAGTGATATCATAATTTTATTTGCCCATTCACATGCAAGTCATGCATGACAACAAGGATAAATCATAAGAGTATATTGGAAAATCCTATCCATCCGCTGCCTGCAGCTTCTGCGAGGAGAAATGCCTCTAGAACATGGCCATATAGCCCGAAAAAACCCACAAGAACATAGCCACTAAACTCAAAGGAAGCAGGGAAGCCCTAGTAGGGTGGCAGCTCATGTCAGTTACCCTGCTTCCCAAAAGCTTACAGAACCCTGAACCTACAACTTCAGGTCCTGCTACATCACCCTTTGTATCTAGTTGGGGCCCTTCCACACAGCCCTATATGCCAGAATATCAAGGGAGAAAATCCCACATTATCTGAGTGTGGACTCAGATAACCCAGTTCAAAACAGATATTGTGGGATTTTCTGCCTTGAACCTTCCACTTCCACCTTTGCCATATTCTGGCTGTCATTTCTTTTGGCTTTGCCACCCCCACAAAAGAAATAACATTCCTCAATTTTCCCACTTCAGAAGGGGTACTARTGAAAGTTGCCATGGTTAGGAGCTCTTTTTGCCTAGATAGGATTATTTCCAGACACAAAATCATTGCATGATAACCCAGAATAAGCCTAACAGCCTTCAAATGCCTTGAAAAATAACAAAAAAAAAAAAAAAAAAAGCTAACAGCATTCCTCCAATGATGTAAAACAGAATTGGGCAAACTTCAGCCCTCCAGGTGTTTAGCACTTCAACTCCCACAATTCCTTAGGAATTGTGGAAGTTGGAGTCCAAAACACCCAGAGGGCTGAAGTTTGCCCATGCCTGGTGTAGAGGTACTATTGGTCAAGTAAAGAGCAAAACAAAATATTGGAACTCAAAATTTGCAGGACACTTGGTCCAGAAATAATATGTGAGGCCCACAAGCAACAATCGTCCACTATATTAAAATTATTTTAAAATTTAAAAAATGAATAAGTTTGGAAGACATGGAAGAATCTGATCCTGTGTTTTCAAACTACATCATAACATGCCATCTTTTACATTTCTTTAAAAAATATATAACACACACAACTCAACACATTAATTTAAAACAGAATGCCTTGTCAAATGGAGCAGACTGTAGCAGTATGTTTAACTTCACTGATGAACAGTTAGCCATTGATTGCAAAAACTCTGGTAAGTATAGTTTTAAATCTAAACATTTGAAGGGAGTAACTGGAAAGGAAACAACTCCGAATGACAACTGTAGATTAGGGAAGAAGAATTCTCTGTTTAATTCATAATTGCTATTCCTCTGAGATGCTTGCAACATGCAATTCATGAATGAGCACTGAAAGATCTAGTAAGTAAATAGGTTTCTATTAACTGTGATATTTGCCCCTCAGATGTGTTGTCAGTCTGCTTTAGAAATGATGGACCTCAAGTAATATGAATGTACTATTGGAAAAGTTTTCACTAAGAGGAGAGGGGGATCTTCTACCTAGAAGTGTGCATAGCAGCGTAATTACAATTTCTTCTCATTGAAGAACTCCTCTATTTTAAAATTGCCATACACAGTTTGCCAAACTTTACTTATTTTGTTTTTATCAACTACTGTACACCAAAGCAAATTGTGGTTCTTTTGTAGCCATGTTGCCTTTTGGATATTTTAGATCACAATTTTTATTATTTCCAGCCAGTGGTTTCCAACCTTTCGTTCTCCAGGTGTTTTGGATTTCAACTCCCAGAAATCCCAGCCATCTTACCAGTTGTTAGGAATTGTGAGAGCTGAAGTCCAAAACACCTGGAGGAACAAAGGTTGGGAACCACTGCTTCCAGTCACTGTCACCAATGATAAGGAATGATGGATAATACATGGTAAAACATCTGGAGGGCACCATGTTGGGGGATTTATTATTAATGCTTTTTATAATTATACTATATTTCTTCTTATGCAGGACCCAGGGTAGACCATACCCAAACAAATATGTTTATGCTCTTTTATCACCACTTTGGCTGTTCTCTGGCATTGAACCGGGACTAAGAACCTGTCAACCTGCAGGTCTTGAAAGCATTCAATTCCTCATCAGTGGTCAATCTGGCAGTGACTGAAGAGAAATAGAATTAGACTGAGGCAGATGGGAATCAAGAATAGGAGAGCAGCAATTTTGATTCAGGCTAAGTTACAGCAAAAGTTGGGCCTCCATAGTCTTTCAGATAATGTTAGGTTAATGTGTTGACAAAGGCTCTAATGGCTAGACTCGTTAGGTTGCTTGAGTTTTCTGGGCTGTATGGCCATGTTCCAGAAGAATTCTCACCTGACGTTTCACCCACATCTACAGCAGCCATCCTCAGAGGTTGTGAGGTTTCTTGGAAACAAGGCAAGTGAGGTTTATATATCTGTGGAATGTCCAGGGTGGGAGAAAGAACTCTTGTCTGCTTGAGGCAAGTGTGAATGTTGCAGTTGATCACCTTGATTGGGGGAACCTTTGTTGGGAGGTCATTAACTGGCCCTGATTGTTTCTTGTCTGGAAAGGATTCCCAACAAAGGACGTCCCCAGACAGGAAGCAGCCAGGTGTTGAAGCGGCAAAGCTATTCAATGCTAATCAAGGCAATCAATTGCAACATTCACACTTGCCTCAAACAGGAGAGAATGCTTCTGGAACATGGCCATAAAACCTGGAAAACTCACAGAAACCCAATGTTGGATCATATCTCCCACAAGCCCTATCCAGCATAGCCAGTGATGAGGAATTACGGAAGTTGTCATTCCTCAAGGTCTGGAGTGCCACATGTCCACCCATCCCTAATAAAGAGTTAGTTGTACAAATTCTAGGTAGTCAGGTTAGTTTCTTTTCACTGGAAGACGCAACATAAAGGTATTGACAGGGGCGGCTCAACCCATTACGTGAAGTATAGTTGATTTTGCCCAGGGGTGCTCTTGAGGCACTCTTGGGGGAAAATAGACCTTGACATGTGCGAGTTGTCGTTACTGGGATGTATTGTTCACCTACAATCAAAGTGCATTCTGAACTCCACCAATGATGGAATTGAACCAAATATGGCACACAGAACTCCCACGACGAACAGAATATATATATCAGTGATTGGTTGGGGGGGGGGGGTTTGCCAAAATACTGTTTGCTTACCGAAAATTACCTAGGGCCGCCTCTGGGTATTGGGGTGGGGTTTTATGTTCTGGCTGAGGCAGCTTTATCCATAAGCCGCAAATGGTGAATGGCACGAGCTGTCTTGAGACATCTGCCAGGCACAGGAGGGGTCTCCGTGCCCTGGGTGCTGAAGGGGTGTCCTCCTATTGCAGGAGCATGGAAGGCCTTTAGGACCCGGGGGAGGCAGGCTCTGCGTGGCCGAGGCGCGTGCACCCAGCCGCACACACACCCGCGCGGTCCCTGCCCAAAAAAGCACAGCCTCCAGGAGCCCCGGCCCACTCCTTCGCCGCTCCTGGGGAAGAAGCTCTGGAGCTGAGGCGCACCAAGGAAGGCGACCTCTCCGCCTCCCTGAACCCCTCTCTCTGCCTTTGAGGCCAGCATCCCTGCGGAGGACCTCACCCGAGGCGGGGCTGCGCGGGGTTCCAAAGGTATTTGGGATGGGTCTTTTGTGTGCTTTGCCCAGGCTTCCCTCCTCCTCCTCCTCCTCCTCCTCCGCCCTCGCCTCGCTCCCCTTGTATTTTTGTTGCAATGCCATGGCTGCGGCGTTTCAGAACCATCCTGCGCGGACAGCTCCCGCCTGCGATCCATCCATCCGCCCTCAGCCGCATCCATCCCTTCTTCCTCCCCGCCTTGCCTTTATCCTTTCCTCCTATTGCAACATTTTCCTCCCATCTTTGCTCCAAACGAGCCTCTGGCGATTCCCAAAAGGAAAAGGAAGAAGGTGGCAGGGAGGGATCCGCACCAGTCCTCCAGAGTCTGGGATAAAAAGGCACAAGTTGGTGGCAAAAGGGAGTTCAGACCAAGGTTGCAACTGGGAGAAGGCAGGTGGGGATGGAGAGGGAGAGGAAAGGAGCGGAAGGGAATGATAGTCTCTCCCCAGATCTCCAGTTGTGGAGATCAGGGAGTCAAGGCTGGTAAAACAAACAAGCAAGCCCCCCCCCCCCCAACATTGCCCTCTGCTTCCACCAGGCATATTAAACCCAAGGCTGGATGTGATGGAGAAAACAAATAGAGTCAATTGATTGTAGAAGGCTTTCATGGCCGAATCACTGGGTTGTTGTGAGTTTTCCAGACTGTATGGCTATGTTCCAGAAGTATTCTCTCCTGACATTTTGCCTGCATCTATGGCAGGCATCCTCAGAGGTTGTGAGACCTCACAACCTCTGAGGATGCCTACCATAGATGCAGGCAAAATGTCAGGAGATAATGCTGCTGGAAAATGACCATACAGCCCAGAAAACTCACAACCCAGGGTCAATTGAATTTTGCTTCTCAGTGGGAGATTGTCACTGTTCATACGGGACGGGGGGAGGAAAGACTCCCATCTTTCCATCTCTGTTTTCTTTACTGCAGAAAGTAAAACATTGTTGATTTTTTTTCCCACACACAAGCACACATACCCAACATATATTGAAATATATTGTGGCATAATTTCACAATACAGTTCCATTGCTGAAAATCCTTTCCAGTATCTTGTGCCAAGGGATGACTATTAAACTGGGGTGAAATTTAGGGTGGGGAGGAGAATAATATTAAAGTTACAGAGCAGATGGCAGGTCTTTGTTCATAAGTAGTCCGTGATTGGTTTATATTGGGAAGAAAAGAACAGATGAGATTGTAAAGGTGGGAGGGGGAGGTTTTTCTTGGACTTCCATCATATAATCAGAGGATAACACAGATTGTCCTGGTACACTGGAAGTGAGTGCATTGCCAACAAGTAAAATGACGTTATATAATAATATGATGTCATGCACCAAACAGCAAAGGTATGAGTTCTCTCTTCCGGGTGGTAACTGGTTTTTTGTTGCGGGAACAAAACAAAACAAGAAAAGCTTAGCCAATTTCCCTGCAACCATGTAACTTGCAGATGACAGGATTTTAGTTTAGTTTTAAGAATAAATGGTTTTGTCAGCTTTTCCCATTCTTGTTGACTCTGCTTTGTGATCTTCACAGAGAATGTTTTAGAAACTAGATCAGTGGTTCTCAAACTTTCTAATGCCATGACCCCTTAATACAGTTCCTCATCTTGTGGTGACCCCCAACCATAACATTATTTTCATAGGTTCTTCATAACTGTAATTTTGCCTTTGACAATACATTGTAATTATGCTACTGTTATGAATCGTAATGTAAATATCTGATATGCAGGATGTATTTTCATTCACTGGACCAAATTTGACACAAATACCTGATATGTTCAAATTTGAATACTAATGGAATTGAGAGGATTCTGTCATTTGGGAGTTGTAGTTGCTGGGATTTATAGTTCACCTACAATCAAAGAGCATTCTGAACTCCACCAGCAATGGAATTGAACCAAACTTGGCACACAGAACTCCCATGACTAACAGAAAATACTGCAAGAGTTTGGTGGGCATCAACCTTGAGTTTGGGAGTTGTTGTTCACCTACATCTAGAGAACACTGCGAACTCAAATAATGATGAATCTAGACCAAACTCTACACGAATACTCAATATGCCCAAATGTGAACACTAGTGGGGTTTTGGGGAAATAGAGCTTGACATTTGGGAGTTGTAGTTGCTGGGATTTATAGTTCACCTAAAAGGAGCATTCTGAACCCCACCAATGATAGAATTGGGCCAAATTTCCCACACAGAACCCCCATGACCAACAGAAAATACTGTGTGTTTCTGATCGTCTTTGGCGACCCTTCTGACACCCATTCATGACCCCCCCAGGAGTCCCAACCCCCAGGTTGAGAAACACTGGACTAGATCTTTCCAATTTTTTTCTGTATTTCACAGAGACTTTTTCCTACAGTCTTTGTTACTCTATGGTGTCTAATGAAGTATCACAGTCAATAACTAGGAACTGCAGAATTGGGTCTGCAGGTCATGGCTTACAGAGTGATAAATATTTGCAGGCAGTTTTCTTATGTAGTGTTAAAATGCCTGTTTAATTTAGCTTGGCAGATTACCAACTCCCTACAAGATAAAGAAACCTATTTTTCTTTTAAAAGCTTTCCTTTTGAAACCAGTGGCCATTGTTTCTAAGCAAAAACTTGACTATGGGACCAAGCTTTTGGACAGCAGCAGTACAAGGAATGATCAGGGGTTATGTACAATAGATATGATATTTGGAACAACCTGGACTACGATTGTTGGATTGTGTGATTTTAATGTTTATGTTTATATGTTTTTTAATTCCATGTTTTAATGTTAAATGATGTCGTGTTTTATGATTTAATTGATAACTGTATGTTATTATTGTATGTTAGGTTTCTGTATGTGAGGCATTTAATTTTGCCCTAATTATGTTGGAAATTGCTTTGAGTCCCCTATTCAAAGCTGAGGGGAGAAAAGCGGTATACAAAAGAAGAAAGTAAATAAATAAATAATAATAAAAACATTTTAAACAAATATTTTCTTATATGAACCACAGCAGTGTCTTAATTAGTACACATGCAACTATAAAGCGTCATTCTGCCACAAGACATACACAACACTCTCTATAGAAAAGAAAGGATGGTGGAAGAAATGCAGGCCAAACTATACCATTTGCTGAAAGCACTTGGTAATTTTTAAGATTTACTGGTAAATCTTAGAAATTATTGTGTCATAAGGTTTGCATTAGACAACTGTGTGTTGGTAAATATTATCCTCTGTCAGTAAAGAATAGATATTGGATTGTTGGCTTTGGGATTTACCAGTATGTGTTAGAAATGTTTTTATCATACCTCCTTTCAGACATTTATTTATTTATTTATTTATTTATTTATTTATTTATTTATCCCCTCTTGGCACAATGGGTTAAACCAGGCATGTAGCCGGGGGGGGGGGGGCCCTCGGGGGGCTTCAGCCCCCCCCAAAATTTTCATGGTGGTTCGCGAAAAGGCCTTATTGCTGCATTATTTAAACTGTTATGTTTATTCATATCATGATCTGATCACCATACTCAATATATCCCATATGCATGGGGGTATTGGGGTAATGATACAAAAGGTTTGCTAGGCTAGACCCTCTTTCAATCAGACTCAGCCCCCCCGAAACTCAGCCCCCCCCGAAACCCCTGAAAAAAAATTCAGCGCCCCCCCCCCCCCCGAAACGAAATCCTGGCTACGGGCCTGGGTTAAACCCTTGTGCCAGCAGGACTGATGACTGACAGGACGGAGGTCTGAATCTGGGGAGAGCGGGTTGAGCTCCCTCTATTAGCTCCAGCTCCCCATGTGGGGATATGAGAAAAGCCTTCCACATGGTTGGTAAGACATCAAACATACAGGTGTCCCCTGGGCAATGTCCTTGCAGACGGCCAATTCTTATATGAGAAATGACTTGCAGTTTCTCAAGTTGCTCCTGACACACATTTTTATTTATTTATGATATTTATATAGTGCCTTTCTCAATCTGGGGGGGGGGGGGGCTCAAGGCAGTTTACAACATACTAATGGCAAAAAAATAATTTAGTACTGGCCATGATAAATGATGTCATAATTTATTTGCTAACCATAGAAAAATGGGTGAAATTTGTCTATGAACCATTTCTGCTGTTTTAAGTTTAATAGGAATCAGAATGTTCTGGCATTTTTTTTGTCTCCTTCCCAGTTTTTAATGTTTACTCTAATAGAGTTACATACAACATACATCTTCATGGCTGGCAGAGCATCCAAATTCACAAGAAAATGAAATGAAAGTTGCATTCAGTATTATGGAACAATTGATAAATGAATTTCACTTTTCCTACAACCATTTTAAAGGTGTTGAGTTGTAGAGAGTGCTTATTAGGTGGAGCTTCATTTCTCTGAAAGCTGCATTTAAGATCTTTTCATTTCCAAAGACATAAGAAGAAAACACTTTTTTTCCTGAAGGGATGGCATAATTGTGATGGTATAAAGCCTGTGTGCGCATGTGTGCAAAGCAATGGTTCCTCCACAAGCCATATTTCCTTTGGGAAGTAATTAGTGGGAAGATTTTGTCCACAGTTTCTGCCCCATATACCTCATAGCCATGAAATGGAAATCATTGAAATGTAATTTATTATGCTACTACTCAATTGGTAGGAGCATGCACTGTAATACTGAGTCATTCTATAGTACTGTCTGGTTTCTGTGGTGCCCACACATTTCCCTTCTGGCATCACTGCAACATCCTGTTGAACAGCCACATTTGGTTGGTGCTGCTCACAGATGCAATTCCACTAACAGGAAATTGTTAATAGGAGACAGTTGCTATTACAATAGTTGTGAATTGTGATATCTGTAACTTGAAGATCCTTGAAGACTGTGCTATCCAATATATTTCTGTTATAAATATGTGCCTTTAAGTCAACTCTGGTTGACTTAATCTTACTCTTTCTTGGTAAGGTTTATTCAGAGGGGTTCCTCCAAGGCTGTGAGAGTGTGACTTGCTCAGGCTCACCCAGTGGACATTGAAATATTGTGGATGTGTAGTTTTGTATGCTGTTGGACTG